AATTCCCACACAATGCTAAATAATATATATACTGCTATTATGAATAATATTAGATAATATTGTTGGGAGAATAAAATTCGTTCATTTATATTCGACAACGCTGTTGTTAATAAGGTAGTTATTGATAAATTGTGTAAGGTATTGCGGTCTAATTTCGTTGGTTATTTGTTTCATATTCGTTGTGTGTGCCATATTTTTTATTTAATTGTGCAGAATGGTTTGAAACATATTAAGAATGAACTTCAAATTATTACGGATGCACTAGTATATATTATTATTATTTCACCTAGCAGAAAACAAATATTTGAGGAATTTTGTGCAGAATTTGGGGTGACGAATACAACAACATTTGTTAGTGATGTAGTGTATAGATGGAATTCTATTTATTTATTATTAAAATCATACAAATGTTTTGAACATTTAATAACTGAATTTATAACAATAAATATATTAGAAACGATGATGAAACTATTTTACATGAAAACGATTGGATTTTAGCTTTTAAAATTAAAAAAATTTTGACAAGTTTTTATAATTACACAAATATTTTATCAGGAGTCTACTATCCCACTAGCTGTATAGTGGTTGAACATCTTTATGTAATTGCAAGGACTTTTCATAAATATAAAAATGACCCCGATTTTAATATAATTATATATTCCATGGAATTAAAGTTTAGAAAATATTGAGAAGGCTTGCCTACGTTATTTCCTTTAGCATGCACTACGGACCCTCAATACAATTTATCAGATTTCAAAAACTTTAACTTTTAATACATCTATCACTTATAGAAATTTAGAACAAACTTTATGTGAAATGTATGAATTATATGCAGAACGAATGTGTGCTAATATTAGTCGGGCACCCTTTGCACCTACTCCTCCCACCAATATTGAAGAAGATGACACATAAATTTTAACTTTATTTGAAGACATTAATACATATAGATATAATTCAAATGCAATAAGTTCATCTAGTGGTAAGTTTTCTACCTCATATAGATACGAAGTTTATCTACTGCTGTTTTGAATTTTAGATTCTGCCATTAAATTTGGAAATGGTATAACTTGGGCTATAATGAATGTTTTAGAGTGAAATCAGTAGCGTTTGAAAGGCCTATGAGTCTTCTAATAGTAATCTTTCAAATTATCTTAAAAAAGTATCTAGAGAAAAAGTTATGCCCGTTTTAGTAAACTGCGTTCTGACTATGTCCGATTTTCTGCCCAGCATAGTCGTGCAGTATTTTCATGCTACAAACATTCTCGTCCAGACCTCAACTTTTTATATGTTGTATGCGCAACTGGTATTTTGCTGAATTTCCTCCAAATGTCTTCCAAAATAAAATTTCACCAAATTGTCCAAATCTATATGAACAAAAATTTCAATTTCATCTTCCTTTATGTTTCAGATTTCAAAACTTTTATCATTTAAAACTTATTTTGGTTAACATTTAAGGGTTCGAACAAAGAAGATGAGTATTTCTTTTAACGCTTTGAGTTCCGAGAATTTGGGGCGTTGCATCCTCCATATCATTCCATATTATTTCTAGAGTTCAACCTTCATATTGATTTGATCATTGCTTTGAAAAACATCATCCTCACGTAAACCAAACACCAAAACACATACTTCCACAACATATGTTGGTGTTTTGAAGATCAAGGAAGGTAATCAAAGCTTCTGGTTGTTGGAGAACGATGAGTTCTCATTGATCCACATGAGATAGACGAATTCAGAAGGCCTGCAGCACGCAATCGAGGAGGGTTTGGTGATTACAGTCAGGAGGTCAAAAAGTACTAGAGTTAGTCGAATCTGATAGTACTATAAGTTGATTCGTTTATAGTGGATTGTTACTGACTTGGGCCCGGAGTTTTTACCCATTTACGGGTTTTCTCCATCATCATATTTTGTGTTATTTACTGCTTTCTATATAAATGCGGCATTCAAACCATATGAAAATTGAATTGATTGTCTAACCATTTAGAAACAATTAAAAGCGAGTTGTTGCTTATTAATTGTTAATTTCAATTTCGCGTGAACACTTATTCCCCTCTAGGTATTAGTTAGGTCGAACTTGGTTATTTCACCGTAGTTTTGGGAAAAAAAAATTCATAGGACGCTTTAATGGATAATGAAACGTCACACCCGCTCATTCAAAGACATTTGTCACCCATGGGGAGTTTTCAAAGCGGCCGTTGTCATCCATCTTAAACAAATTCAAATCAACTAGCTGGCAGGAAAAGCTTAAGGTTAGACTTTAGTAAGAAGGAGCTTAGACCTCGGGAGGTAACTGTTGGAGTCCGACCTAATTACTTCTCAAACTTTCATTTGAGAAATAAGCACAGAAAATGTTGTTATAATTATCCAGGTCATTAAAACTCACAGGTCGAACACCAGCCGCCATCATTAAAAGAGACGTCATGATTAGGAACTCCGGAAAAGCTGTCCTAGCGTCACATCCTCACCTCAAGATTAACCATTCCTGAAATGCAAAGTAGCATTCATGATGTCATCGCCTCATTTCAAACCAATCAGATTTCATCGATGAATATTTATATGGCAGGTAATCATATCCTAGGTCATCGCTATGACCTAGACCCCATGATGACCAATTTGGCCGATCTTATCAACCAATCAAAAGCAGTAAGATGGGGTGGTGTCATGGATTCTAAGTCAACACTATAGCAAATATGACGTTGGACGGCCAGTCGCTTGATTTCAAGACCTATATATAGGGTAAATGGTCCCCTCCAAAGTTGAACTCAATGTATTCTCTCCGTTACACTCAAACTTCAATCAACAAAATTAGCCTGTAATTCTCATAAATTTCAAATATTACTCTACTAAATTTATATTAAGTTGATCTAAATTTGTTACGTAATTTTTAATCATTAACAAAATTGAATTTGTATTCTTCATCTAAACTGAGCCGATGCATTGAATTATCAAGAATGATCCGTCTCTTCTATTCAGTTATTGCACATGTTACTGGATTAAATGTGAAATAAAATTATTGCCGACCAAAAGTAAAGGAGCAAAAATCTTGAAGCTGAAACGAGAATGCACTCACTTTTATGCCAATGTATCCTTTGTTACATTTGCACATGGGCTGCCTCCCGCTATCAAATCTTGACCTGATTTTCTTTTCTTTATTTTTTATTTTAATAGTTTGATATTTGATGATTGTTGGAGTATTATTTTATCACAGGCATGTGGTGTCGCAGACTAAGTTGTAGAGGCTTCATTTGTCATTTCGTTTATATTGTAAAATAAAAATTATATCGTCGGAAATGGTAGCTTTGTTACGTGATGGCAAGAGTGGTTCATGTTGCTTTATTCCAAAAAAAAAAGATAATAAAATGGATCATGAGTTGGCATAACTACGTTAGATACAAATTTATAGCATAAATGTTTGTTTTTTTCTTTTTTTCAAATATTTATATCTTTATATTTGTCAATTTTTTAAATATATTTTGTTTAGGCTTAATTAAACCATAGGATTCCGAACTTTGCACTTTGTAACACTTTCGTCCTCATTTTAATATTTTGTAGTACTTTCATCCCGACCTTTGGTAATTTATAGGAATGGCGGAACGAGGTAGGACAGGGTGAGAATTAAAATATCCCAATTATTACCCTGTTGACTTATTTATTTACTTATTTCTAGAAAAATTAAATACATTTAGATCTAAAAATAGAAAAATCAAGGAACCGTCATGATTCTCCAATGGGCGGAAAATTTGGGACAAGGACGAGATATTTTTGACATCCCTAATAATTCATCCAGATCGTGAACGCCTCCTACCAACAAACAACAGCAAAACTCTATTAATTAGGGGTTAGTCATATCGAACAAGAAAGTGAAATGACGAACTAACCCCTCAGCCGACAATGTAACATTGAGCTGCGAGACCAAGTGTCCTGGAATGCTATGCTTTGAACCTGCACAAGATGAAACCTAGTAATATTTTTTATATTCAATTAATTTAACGTTGCTTAATTAATAGGATTTTTTCATTAAAATAAACCAAAATCGAATATGTTGTGTCCGTTCATCCCTACACAATTATGCTGATTATTTTATTTAATTATTCGTTACAACTTTCCGTTCTCTTTCCTTTTCTTGGCTTAGTCTTCTGCCAGAATTGCACGTGCACACGTTATCTTTCCTAAGAGATTTTATATGCAATTTGCAAAGCAATCATGTGGTATCAATCTTCTTTAAAGTAAATTCTTATTTCGAAATATGTTAAAATAACTTTTTTTTTTATAGGAAAAACAATTTTTGAACAAAAAAGTAGGTATTGGCAGAAGATAATAGTTTAACGGCCAAAGTTAAAATTAAACTTATTTGAATTGAAACTAATTCCTACTTTTTCGTTCAATTTTTTTTTTTTACTTAAATGAGAAAGTAACTTATTTTAACATATTTCAAAGTAAAAATTTCCGTATATTTTAAAATCATTTGAACTTTTAGTAAACAAGATAATTTATTATTGTACGAGTAATAATTATTAGATTCGTTTGACTAATTTTATGAAATCGCTTTTTCTTGTTGAAAGAACTTTCAGATGAAATTAGTTCAGTATAATTTTTTTCTACAAACACTTTCAAAATAGGAGGATCTTTCAAAAATTAATTTTCAAATAGAAATTTTAAGTAAGTTTTTTAGAAAACTCTTTTACATGAAACATGGTCAAACACTACAATTATTTCATAATCAAATTTTTATTATATTTTACTAAATACCTAAAATAATTGTAATTGTTTAACAAACTCTAAAAGCAATCTTAGATAGAGCCTTATTTACTTATAAGTAATTTTTGAAGCTTAATCAATTGTGAAAAGTAACCCGAAGTTAATTGCAATGGTTGTAATTTTATCAAAATTTGGGGGCTTTCTCATCAAGTGAAACCCATAAAAACCCTCCCACTGCTTCTTCATTTTCGATCCAATCCTCTCTCTCTCTCTCTCCATTGTATTGTTATTACAACATGAAGAAGATGAACCTATTGTTGATTCTGCTCAGCGCCACCTTCTATTTTGCATTATCTTTCAACGATGGTAAGCTTCCAATTCTTCACATCGATTAATTTATGTTCTTACTTTCATGAGATTAAATTCATATTTTGGCTTATTTTCATGGCATTCACATTAACTAATCAAAGTTGAACGTGCATTACACGTTGTTCTGAAATATTTTATAAATGTTGTAAAAGTAATATTTGATACCAATTTGTTAGGAGGATTTGACGATTCTCAAACTAATTAAAGAAAACAAAATTTAGGATATAAATTTAAGAGAAGAAAATTGTACTCTCAAACTCAACTTTTATTATTCAAAATTTTTGTGATGATGAAATACTATAAATGAGAAACATTTCTATGCTACATTTGATACATAAAAATTAAATGTTAATACATAAACTTAAACACTCATTAAAATTCCTAAATACATTAATAAAATTAAATTCATCTATAATAACTCTAGATTCATGTAGATCAAAGTTTATTGAGTTTAGATTAATGTGAATGTTAATTAATTGTAAATTAATAACACGATACTCATACATGACAATAATTTTGTAGTATTTATTACATATTGAAACGAAAAATAAGGTATTATTGAAATAATTAAATTGTAGTAGGATTAAAATCGTCCAAAAAATAATTCTCACTTGACGTGATTATTAGTATTAGTATTATTGTTGTTGTTATTGCTGTTGTACAAATCTCTTAGGAGTATATGATAGTTTATGAATATAATCATTTGGTACATGGGAAGAAGCAAAGAAATGAAAAAACCCGAGTACTAGCTACCTATGCCAAAGCTACTACAAAAAGAGAACTAATGCTAAAATGCATGGTTATCAGACTAGATCCGGTCTTCGATTTGGACAAATTATTGGACCATTGGATTAGTGGTTCAACCGGTGTAACAGTGGATCAATCGATGTGTCATTGCTTAGCCAAATTTTAATTAAAAAAGATATTTCTACATCTATTCATACCCTGCCGACAAATCATCCGTCAAGGAATATGATGACATTTTCTGTTCAAATGGCTTAACTCTTCAAATAAAGGCGACACTCAATTACATTTTTGCATATGCTGTATAGAGAAATTTGATCGCGCACGGATCTTCTTCTTCTTTATCCTTCCGTCACCTCAGAATAAAAGGATCCCATTTTAATTATGAATTCCATTAAAAAATTTAGAATCTAGTATAGTCAATTGTCATACTGACGTTCGTTTGAAATTAAAAAGAAGAAGCAATAATTATTTCAACCTATCATGTGAAGGAAGTACATGTTATATAAGTTCCTAATTTTAGTTCTTTTTACGTAAGCCATGTTGCATTTGAGAAAAAATTAAGAATATATATTTTAGACAACACAACATGTGATAACATGTTGACTACAGTTGTACAATGTTCACGATCACTTGCCACTTGGATCATCACATAATCAATCACATTTTCTTACTTAGGTAATTAGATAGATTTTCTACAATGATATGTATTGTGTACGTTTCGTTGTTTATTTAAGATAAAATTAACTTTATCATGTCATCGTTGATCCATTCTTTCGCTATTGTTGAACTATATAATCTAATGCAATTTTAAAAAATTCAGGATTATTGCCTAATGGGAACTTCGAGTTGGGTCCAAAGCCATCACTAATGAGAGGAACCAGAGTGAACGACCCACACGCCATACCCAACTGGCAAATTTCAGGTTTTGTCGAGTACATAAAATCGGGCCAAAAACAAGGCGACATGTTGCTGGTGGTGCCGGAGGGAGCCTCGGCTGTGAGGCTAGGGGACGAGGCATCGATTAAGACAAAGGTTAAGGTCACAAATGGGATGTTTTACTCGATTTCGTTTAGTGCTGCAAGGACTTGTGCACAAGACGAGAAATTGAATATTTCAGTGTCACCAAATAGTGAGCCAAAGGACTGGGGAATTTTACCAATTCAGACAATGTATAGTAGTGATGGTTGGGATACTTATTGTTGGGGATTTTTGGCAGAGTCCAATGAAATTGAGATAATTTTACATAATCCGGGAAAAGAGAAGGACTTAGCTTGTGGTCCACTCATTGATTCAGTGGCACTCAAGGCTTTGAACCCACCTAAAAGACCAAGAGGTAAACATTCAACATTTTTCTTACACGAAAAAAGAAAAAAGTTAACCAATAATACCAATTATCAAAGAATAATGCTATCTAACACTAGTTTAGGTAGTCATATTTGATAATTTCAATTAAATGAATCATGTGACATTACATTTAAATGAAACTATCATTTAATGTCATGCAGTTGTCATCTAAGCTGGTGCTTGACACCAGTGATATTAAATAATATTACTCAATATATCATTAATTAGACTATTGGTTAATAAAAGGTTACGTATAAGTGCACGTATAAATGCAAATACACCAAACTTTTCATTTTCTATTGATTATTACATTCCAAAAGCCTAATAGTTTATATTAAATAATTATGCAGGCAACATGCTGAAGAATGGGAATTTTGAAGAGGGCCCATATATTTTCCACAATACATCCTGGGGTGTCCTAATTCCTCCCAATATTGAGGATGATCACTCACCACTTCCTGGATGGATTATCGAATCCCTCAAGGCTGTAAAGTACATAGATTCGGACCATTTTTCAGTTCCCGAGGGCAAACGGGCAGTCGAACTGGTTGCCGGAAGAGAGAGTGCACTTACACAAGTCTTAAGAACTGTTCCCGACAAGACTTATGATCTATTCTTCTCAGTAGGAGATGCCAAAAATTCATGTCAAGGATCAATGTTGGTTGAAGCTAGTGCAGCCAGAGACATTGTCCAGGTTCCTTATGAATCCAAAGGCAACGGTGGATTCAAACGTGCAAAGCTAAGGTTCAAGGCAATCTCAACACGCACTAGGGTTAGGTTTTTGAGCTCATTTTATCACATGAAGAGCGACAATTCCGGATCNGGGGGGAATTTTTAGATCTTGGCTTTGTAGTTTATAATGCTCAACATGGTGCATAATGAACATGCCTTCAAATAATTGATTTCCTACATGTTTTTACTTACCAAATTAAATTGCCTTCAGCTTTTTCAGATTTGATTTTTAATTTCGTTTTCAATTCACTCTAATTGTCGGATCCATTATGTCGAGAATCCACAAATGTTTGACTTGTTAAACATATCTTAGCTTAGCGACGTAGAAATTAGTCAATCCCGTCAAAAAATGTCTCACTTCAAATAATCTGAGCCCTTGTTTGGTGGCCTTCAAATTTCAAAAACATAGTTTTGAATAGTATTTTTTGGAAAATATATTATTAAAAAGTAAAAAAAAAAAAGAGTTTTGAGTTTACGGATAGAATATTTAACTATATCAATGTGCGGTTGAAAATTAGTATGAGAAATAAATTAAAGTAAAAGGAATCAAACAGGGGTTAAGCATTAAATTTTATTTTCTTTGTTATTGATTACAAGTTAAAATAAAGAAATTAAAAATTTCTCCTTATCATTCGAGAATTGATAGGTACTTTAGATTGAGCAACCTAAGCTTTGTCTTCGTAATTCTTTCATAGAATATCGAAAGTAACGACCATAATTTTATTCATGTATATTTTCTCCTCAAACACAACGTCAAACTCTAAGAGAGACGATCAAATTCTTAAAATGAAGTATGATGCCACTCTGTTAATCCTATTATTTGTTTCTCATTTCAAGATTATTTTGATGCGAATTTTCTTCATAGCATGTTCTTTGTTATTTTCTTACATTTTTTTATTACTTTTGTAAGACATCTTAAATTACTCCTATTTGAAGAATATTAAAATAAAATGTTAAGTAAATTTTGATAAAAATTGATGAAATGTGAGTTAAAAAATACTTGTGGATACAATGAAATGTGTAGTTAAATTAATTATTGACTTTTACTTAGATTTTATTCAGATTTTTTACGTTACCAAACAAGGACTAGGTTTAGTTTAGTAGGTAGACAATGAAATCATTTATAATAATTTTCATATATTTTCAAGAAACTTATTGACCCGAGTATCAATTCTCGACATCTTTTGAGATGCAATGTTGTAAAATTATAATACATTATAATTACAAAATGAATAAGTTGAACTCAAAAGAGTGGAATCGTTCTTTCATTAGTAGAATTCACTGAAGAAAGAGAAGTGAAAAAACCAAAAAATGAGAACCCAATTTCTCTATATGTCAATTCTTTTTATCCTTTCTATCTCCAAATTCGTTTTCTCCATTGGAGACCTAAAATTGAGTATCTCTCTTTAGTATTCTAAAAATTAGTAAATTTTAAGGAAAAATTGTAGCTTGGGTCTCTAAGCTTTTCAAAAAGTACAATGATCTCCCTAACCTTTAGCATCGTCCCAAAACTCTGGGAAAATCGGTAGCCGAAGGACCTTTGTACAGTAATCGTCTAAAGATCCGTTAGTTTAAAGCGTGAATTGTAGTGGTCCATTTTAAAAAGTGAACGTTTTCAGCCTTTTCCAACTTAAAACAATTAAAATAATTTTAAAAAAAGGGAAAATTTTCTATCCCTAACACCCACCCGACCCATGGCCAACCACGACGCCATAGGCGCCACCTCCTTCATCATCTCTCCACATCCTCTCTTTCCGAACCCTGTGAAACAAATTAATGTGAAACCAGGGTTTGGACATACAAATCCCTTCAATGTTGAGGTTGGGGGTGGCGAAGATGAAGAATTTACTCTCTTTTTTCTTTTAATTATAATTGTGTATGTACTATATTGCCCTTGTTAAAGGTACACGTGCAACAATACTAATGGATTGTCAGACAGTCATCGTCTACATGTCTTTCAGCCGCCTATTTTCTCACAAGTTTGAGACGTTGAAAATATTTGAAAGTTAGAGATCCGTTGCACTTTTTAAAAGAGTAATAATAATTAGCAATATTGATGTTAAAACACAAGTTTAGATCTCATTAATGTGGCATTAAATTAAATATATAATTAAATGAATCACTTAATTTTACTTTTTTCATTGAGTCAATCCTTTTTAGCCGGAGAAGGAGCCAGGAATAAATGGTACGTGGACAAAAATTTTTAAAATTTAATGTATGAATAAAATAGAGAAACAAAAAAAATATGAGGGTTTTGAGCATACTAACCATTAGAAACAAAGGAAACCATTTCCATCTGGTTCAGAACCAAGCCCTTCATCGTCAATCCCAAAAGGATATGCAAAGCCACACAAAACAAAAACTATAAATAACTAAGAAGTCTTATACCGAAAAAAAAAAACAAGAAAAAATAGGAAATAGGGCTTAGAAAACAATGAGAAGTTGGCGTTTGAGGGCAGAATCTGGGGTGCCAGAATCAAGCTGCAAGACAAAAGAGATAGAATAATGAAATATAAAA